AGTATTGCATTAGAGCACCAAGAAGCCAAAGCTAAAGGAAGAAATCAAGAAATTAAAGAATTGAACAGAAAATTTCAAAAGGCAGCTCAGGATGACAGCGCAAGATACTATAATGAGATGTGCAGAGAGCTGGAGTCAGAAAATCAAAAGGGCCGAACTCGCTCAGCATTTCTTAAGCTGAAGGAGTTGAAAAACAAATTCAAGCCACGGGAGGCAAAACTTAAGAATAGTTCGGATAGATAGTTCTGTTGATAGTCCATGGTATACTCAGCATTCTTCACCAACACCACAGTTCAAAGGCATCAGTGCTTCTTCTTACTATCTAAGTGTTTATTAACCGTTGCACTACCAGGGCTCAGTTTTGGGGCATAATGATAACACACAAATGGTTTTCTTCTAAGTTCATGTTTGAGTATCAGGTAAGCAAGTAGTGATGATTACATATTATCGGTGGTCTTTGAAAGCTAAAATTTAGTATTTACAATGTAGTAGACATCATGTCAAACGCTTTACAAGGTGTTTTGTTGTTGTTGTTGTTTGTTTTTTGTCTAGAGACTTGTTTTATTATGCATGGGGGGTTGGTTAGAACCAGCTCTGATTCTGTGTTTTCAGATGGGCCTGCTGCCCCAAGGCCAGGCCAAGAAGCTGTGCCGGGGATAGTGTTGGCTTCTGGTGGGCTACAGGGCTTCCCCATCACCTTGCCAGGTGGCCTGGGCTCCTGGCGTGCTTAGAGGAACAGGTGCTAGAGATGGGCATCTGGGCTGGGCTGCGCTGCCAGCCAGGGTAATCGAGCCAAGAGGTCCTAAGGGAGAGGGTGTGAGAAACAGTCAAGACCCAGGCTGACACCCAAATCTCTTTATTGGGGGGTACCACCCTCACTACACAGCCTTTTCATTGGCGCTGCTTCCTGAATCCTGTGGCTTCATCAGGATCGGCAGCTCCGGCGGGCTGGAGAATGGTTCAATGCGGAGGGCCTCAAATGTGTCATCTGACCGGAAGGCCAGCCCCACTGTGGCCAGAGCCTGAGGTCCTGCTGTCTGACTGGTGAAGCTGCACTCGCCCAGGGTCTTGGCATTCTCCAGGAGCTGGTCGTCCTTGTGCAGACGCTGCTCATCTGGGGGCCGCTTAAGGATGCCCTCGATGATGCGCTTCAGCTCATACACGGTACTCAACTCCTTGGCGTCAGTGAAGATGGTGGTTTTGTGGCGCCGAATCATCAGAAACACGTCCTGG